ATACGATCCTCCGAAAAAGCAAAAATCTATTTTTGCACAAAGCTTTTGGGGATTTTTGGAGGCATATAACATTCTAATGAAATACGCTACCCAAATTCGAATGGTATTTCCTGAAAGAGGGGCCAAATATCAGTTTATGTAGCAATTTTCAATTTTTTATCTTTGTTATTCCAGGAGATATAGCTTTGTAAAAACCATTTTGTAAGAGCCATTACTGCCATGAAAAATGGGGCGTGGTGCCTAAATTTCAAAAGGTCATAACTTAAATACCGCTTGGAATTTGGAGCTGAAATTTTGGATTCTTTTTTTTTTTTAAATATCCAAAGTGGGTCACATGGGAACTTTCAAATTTCTGGCTGATATGAGCTGGAATGACCCATATTCATGCCTATTGTTTTTTTCAGATACGTCCTAATTTACCATCCAAGCCTTACCTCATTGGTCTGACAGGTGGCAGTGCAAGTGGAAAGAGCTCAATTTGCAAGAGGCTACACAAGATTGGAGCAGGTATTGTGAAATGCGATGAGCTTGGACACAAGGCTTACGAGCCAGGAACAGAAACATTTAAAGAGGTTGTGAAACAGTTTGGAGAAGGTTGGTTTAAATTAGGTTAATTAAAAAGTAGCAAATTTTCATTTGTTTCTTGAATTTGTTTTTTTTCCCTAATTATATGTTATTGTTATCCGGCTTTGTAGAATGTTCAAGAATGTAGTTATGGTGAGTGAAGGTAGGCCACACAGCCTTTAAGTTTTTCACCCCAGTCTAAAGCTAATTTATGGCTCTCCACCCACCTTTATTAACCTTTACCCATCCTTAAAATCCATTTTTATTTTTAAAAAGAGTTTACCAGTGCTATCACCCACCCGCCTTCAAAATGTCAACCACCCACCCTTAGTTTTCCACAGCTACAATCCTGAATATTAGATATTTGTACATGAGCTTTTTGCAGAAGTTTTTAGAAAGTGTATTGTACTTAATGCAGTAAAATACGTTTAATGAAGTACCCCTGCGATCCATATGTATTTTTGGCTGAAGCCATCATTCTACTTGTTAAATAATCTAATTTTGTGTGTGTGTGTTGTTGATTTTGTGTTTTTAGAGTGATGTTCTTCCCTTTTTTTGTAATTTTACCTAATTTTATTCTTTAACAGCCAATTTTTTTTTATAACAAACTGTTTTGTTTTTCAGCCATTGTAGGTGAAGATGGTTTCATAAATCGTAAGATGTTAGGTGCTAAAGTATTTTCTGATGCAGCCAACTTAGAGAAACTAAACCAGATCGTGTGGCCAGCAATTGCCCAGATGGCTAAAAAAGAAATAGAGACATTTTCTGAGCAAGGTAAGGTTTGTATTTAGTAACTGGGAAGTTCTAGCACGGAGGTATTCTTGTAAGAATCCATGGATAAGCACTTTAGAAAAGATAATTTGTCCAGGGGCAATTGCCCGTAAGTACATGTTTAAGGCTGTCTCTTATACACATCTAGATGTGTATAAGAGACAGATATATATATGTATGCGTGTATATATGTATATATATGTATATTTATATATATAGGCCTATGTATATGTATATAAATGCCATATTTTTATTTTTCATTATTACTGTGTGTACAATTTTTTATATTTTTAAATATGCAATGAATTGTTTCCACTCTGCTTTTCCTTTTTAAAATTGGACAATAAAAAATAAATGAAATGAAATGTATATGTATACTGGAAAGTATATGACAAGATGGTATCTCTTGCGTGTAAAATTATAAATAAGAATCTCTTCTGTGATCCTGTATGTGGTTTCTACTTTGTAAGTTTTTGATTTTGTAGATATACCGCTGCTGTGTATTAATAATAATTATGCATGAATGAGTTTACTATCGATCAAAACCGAAATTTATTATTACTCGGCTTACATACTTTACCTGTAAGTCAGCCGATCACTACTGATTACGTACATGGAATGAAGCCTCAAAATAATAAGGTAATTATATAGGAGTGATGTTTTGCCCTACCTGACGTGTTATCGTACCGAATTCCCATTACGCTCCCAAATACTTGGGAAGAAAATTCGCAAGGGATACGGACGGAAATCGAACCCACGACCTCCGCCTGACGCCATAACCCACCGACCATGCGCTTAGTGACTATAGTGTTGAATCTGACTCCCAAGTAGCAGCGGTACTGCAAATGGTACTTCATTCCCAAAGTACTTGCGAAAAAATCTCAAGTGATTCGGGTTAGAATCGAACTCACGACCTCCAGATAACTAGCATGTCGCCATAACCACTAGCTACCGATTTTGAGCTTAGTCACGAGTGTTGAATCCGATCTGATCCGACCTCTTCGCAAGTAACGTCCTAAGTATTCGGTACGATAACATGTCAGGTAGGGCAAAACATAACTCCTATGATATTTTCCTGACGCAAACTCACATCGAAGTAATATGGTAATAATTAGTAGGATGTTTAGCCTACAGATAGCTTTTTTCAGGTAGTCGGGTATAATTTACGCTAGCGCATAGGGCAGTGGTTATCACTAATAAATAATGAAAAAATCAATGCTTTGGGGAAACGATGGTTTGACCTCGGTAGAGGTAAAAATTTGATAAGCAAAAGCCGCTAAAATGTAAACGTACGTAAGCCAGAAATAGAATCTGAGCTTTCGGACAACACTAGTCCTTCCTCAGTGGCGAGTGAGTGAAGGAGAGAAAGCCAGATGGTATAAAGTGAGAAGTGAAATAATAAGATGGAACGATACCTGTCACGTCTTTCCGACAAGGTCGTAGAAATTTGAAATTCTCCAAAGTACCCTCCAGAATTACAGCAGAATTGAATCAAAATTATACAAATAGTAGTAAAGTATAGATATATTAAAAGGCAAAAAGACAATGATGTGGGAAACAATAGCTGGATTTCGGTAGAGATACAAATTTTCGGATAGCCAGCAGCTAAAAAGTCAACGTAAGTAAACACTGCCAGAAATAAAACCAGAGATTTCGAACAACACTTTCTCAGTGGCGAGTCAGTGAAGGTAGAGAAGGCCAGATAGTATAAAGACAGTATAAAGTGCATAGATACCGAGCACTCTGGCAGTTGGTGTTGGAGGCTATGAGATTCATGTAATTGTAGATGGTTGTGGAAATTGTATTGTTTGGTGGTGGGGGGGGGGGGAACAACTCAGGGCACAACTATTCTAAGTAATAACAATAAGTATTACCAATGATAAATAACATTAATAATAATCAGCAGACGTTTACTATAATCTTTAACACAACATTTATTGACAAAAAGGATCGACGTTTCGTGTCCACAATGGACGCATTTTCAAGATCAAGTAAACAAAAAATAAACATATTATAGAAAGCATGGTATAAGTGATCTTAAAGCCGTTGATAATTGTGTTCATCAATGCGTTGTTATCAGTACTGATTGAATCCAGAGGAAGACCCATTAACAGTGGTGTAACTATACCGCAGATTTAACAGGTTCTTTGAACCTGGGCCCCCGAGCTCCAGGGGCCCCGATCTATAAACACAAATATAATAAAACAATGTTTTATTGTGACATTGAATTGAACTATAATTGTATTTACTACCTTCCAGCGAGTGGAGTAACGCTGGGGGCCCTGTTGCTTTCACAGTCCATGAGGCCATTTTTGGATCTAACTAAAATCACGTCCGCCGTTATTGCGACAGATATTGAGGGCCGTCGGAAGCGCACCGGTTGGCCGGACCACGTCTTAATTATAGTATAATATTTTTGAATAAATATAAATATAATTATATGAATTTATTATTAATGTTCGTATCGCAGTGTCTTTTTATGTTATATATTTAAACAAAAAATCCACCATGCGCTTGTTTTTGTATTTAATATTCCTAATTTAGATGATTTTAAACATATTTAGAGGTATAAATATAAATTAACAATTAAATATTTATAACAATTTGGTGGTTGGGCAAATAAGCAAAATTTAAATTGTACCAGCATTATGTTACTCGAAACTTTATGGTATTCATTAATTTGTAGGTATATTTTTAAATATAATGACAACATATTGCATCATGTGTATTCATAACCCATCTTTTATTTTGCATATTCTTTATATTTCACGATACCCTTCACAATTCATCTAGTTATGGCAGTGAAAGAAGATTACATTTTGAACAAGTTATCATTTTGCAATAGACCTACATTATTTTAAAAATAGCTACAAAACTTACTCAACAAATTTCTAGACTTGCCCATCTTTATGGTCTACCGAAAACTCATAAGGACACAATATCTGTCAGGCCAATACTGTCAGACAGGAACCTATAACCTATAAATTGCCGCAATGGCTAGCTGAAAATTAAAACCATTAGCGAGTAATGAATTTAGAGCTCATAACATACCGTAAAACCTCGAATTGAAGCCCTGGGCTTCTCTGTTTTTGTTTTTGCGTTTTTTGGTGTTTTTTTTTTTTTTTTCGAACTTTGGATGGGCTTCTTTTCGAGGCTACTTTTGCAAAGTAAAGAGAGGGGCTTCTTTTCAAAATGAATGCTGTAAATTTTGTGAATTCTTGTACTATTTTTGTTTTCAATAAAACAAACAAAAAGAAACAAAACTATGAAACAATAAATAAGGCCACTGTAACATCAGTGTGTATCATAGAGTGTATTTAACTGGCATTAAATCACCTAAACTACTGAATAAACCAAGTTTGTTTTCAATTTATTTTGTTTTTTTTAAATCGTATCTCGAAAAGGAAGCATATGCTATCTTGAAAAGAAGTCCATGGGCTTCTTTTCGGGGTTAATTTTGCAAACTAAAGGTGGGGGGGCTTCAATTCAATATGGGTTTCACCTCGAGATTAAGCCCAGTGGCTTCAATTCGAGGATTTACGTATTTGAATTTTTATAAGAAATACGCTGTACTGCTATTGGGTCTGATGACTTGCTAGTATCTTACGATGTCGTCTCATTATTTACGAGTGGTCCTCTTGATGACACTATTCACATCCTTGCTGACAAGACAAGACAAGAATGGTCTAATGAGCAATGGTCTATCTATTGATAAACAAGGTCTTAGTAACCTCCTTATGATTACCACCAAAAAAACAACTTTTCCAATATGATGGTAACTTGTATGAACATGTTGACGGTAGCCATGGTTTATCCGCTTGGCCCATTAATGGCCAATGTATTTATGTTCAACAGTGAGGACACCCTTATTCAATCTGCTAACAAAATGCCAGAATTTTACCGACGTTATGTTGACGACACTATTGTGTTTATGCCAATCCATGGAAATAGCCTCATAACTCAATCATTTTTTTTAGGAATGGTTATTTCTAAAAACTTCATCATCTTTGGAAACTAGAGTCTACAATAAACCTACAAATAAAAGAAACCTTGTTAAACTTACAATGTTAGATAGAGCATATAAGTTTTCTTAAACTAATGAAATCTTTGAGAGAAAGAGGTTGAGGAAAATTGAATCAATGTTTCTTAGGTTGAATTATCCACAAAATCTATTCAATAACATTATCAGAGATTTTATGCAATCTAAATATAATGCCTCATAACTCAATCAATTTTTTAGGAATGGTTATTTCTAAAAACTTCATCATTTTTAGAAACTGGAATATACAATAAACCTACAAAAAAAGGACCACTCTTATATTATTAAATTCATGTTGATACCAAGTATAAAAGAAACCTTGTTATACTTACAATGTTAGATAGAACATATCAATTTTCTTCAACTGATGAAATCTTTGAGAAAGAGGTTGAGGAAAATTGAATCAAGTTTCTGAGTTTGAATTATCCACAAAATCTATTCAATAACATTATCAGAGAGTTTATGCAATTTAAATATGATGACGTATCTAGCATTGAACCTGCCACTACAGATGTAAATAGGCCTACTAGTCAAGAAATGAACGAACTGTTAAAATTGTACTGCATTTTAAGGATCAACTTTCTGCTAACTCTGTAAATAGACAACTTAAACAACTAAGCTCTAAGATATTGATAAAGAAATTATTCCAGTGTTCCCTAGTAGGAAAGTAGGTGAGATCTTAAAGAAGAGAGAAAGAAGAGAGAAAACCTAAGATTGCACCGAACAATGCGTGTATATAAATTTTAATGCGGCTTGTGCTTGCCGACACCTTTATCAACACAAAAAGGGAAACATAGGAATGCACTTGAAGCTGTTGAACACTTCAGAATCTTATCTAAATGCAAAACAAATTTCGGTTGTTTAGTTAAAGAAATGCTCTCGATTAAGGATTTAAGAATGTTAGTGGAAGACAAGAAATCAAAGAACAAGACAAAAATACACGAGAAAATCGCAGATAGATTTTCGTTTGTGCTAGGCCACTCGCCGACGAC